AGGGTAGCAATATTTTATTTTCTACAAACCTAATTTTATTGTTACTTCAGGGTTTTTATCCTTGCTGTTAGTTTTATTAATCTCTTATTTTCAGTAGATCTTGTTAATTGATCAAATTTTATTTCTTTTTAATGGGGGAAGGCAGGGGAGGAGAGACATACACAAACATGTATTTGATAAAAATATTTTGGTAGAAAATGTAAGGGATTAATGACAAAAGAAAGAAAAATGAAATAGAGAAAAGAGAGAAAGTAAGGAAAATAGGATAGGAGGGAATGGGGACTGGAAAGAAGTTCTTGTGAATAAGAGAAATTACCATATGTCAGGCTATTACCTCACCAAAAAAATAGCTTGACTTACAAGCAAAAACTACCCACCCAGCAAAACTGAATTATAATATTATATTGGTGGGGTGGAGATGTTGGGAGATTGGACAAAAACTGTGAAGGTAAAACATCAAAGTAAAAACTATTGCAAGAAGTTAAAGAAAAACTATACTCTATACAAAAGCTCTTCAGGAAATAATGGAATAGAATAAATTACCTAGAAGCTGGTTTATAGAAAACTGATTCTATATGAAAATTTGGATGACTCCCTTTGAACAATTACAGAGGGGAAAAGGAAATAAGGCTGTGGTTATATAGAAACATTTCTCAAAAATGCATTTGAATACATGTTGCATTTTGTAAAATGGGAATCTTATTTTTAAAATATAGATTGTTATAATTATTCTATTCAATTGTATTATTTGGGGTAAGCATTTTTCAAGAAGTTGATGGTGTTGCTAGTTTCAGTTAGAAGCAAGTGTAACTTCTGTCTTGAAACTAATTGTAAAGTTGAAGTTCCTCATGAAATATTTGCTTTCCAGTAGTTCTAGAAATAACACTTCTCAACCCCTAAAAAACAAATGCTGACTTTTTTTGTCTTAGAAGTAGAAAGTTTTTTTTCAATACAGAAATCAGGGAAGATAAATTGGAAACATTCAAAAACCCTATCTCCACATGAAATGCATTAAATATTTCTGGTCACAAGCCAGACAGTTGTGTATGTGTGTCTATGTGTGTATGTCAGCAAGATGACTGAAATAAAATAATGGTCATTTTATTTTCCAAGATTTTTTTTCATAATTTTGATTTCTGGTTTGCATATACTTTACAGTGAAGGCACCTATTTTTTAGGTAAAAGGGACTGTGCATAGGAAATAGAAGACATTCTTGAATTTCATGCATCATAATCTATAATAAAAGAGCATTCGTTTTTTTTTCTTTTGGATCATGTACAATATTTAGCAAAGAAAATAAGTGAGAACCTTTCAGATATAACATTTCAAAAATTACTCTGATAAGAGTTGAAACAAATATAGACAAATTTGTACAAACTGGCACCAGCCTCTGATACATTTCATTAATTTTTCAAATAACATTTTATTTCCCAAGTAAGCATGTGAAACTGGTGAGAAATGTACTGTTAAAATTAAAATGGCTGTAGTATTACTAAATAACAATGTTAATCTTTAATTATTTATTTTGAAAATATATTGTATTTGAAATCAGTGATTTGCATTCCTATTCACTGTTCTTGAGTACTATTATATATATATATATATATATATATATATATATATATATATATATATATACAACAAACAAATATTAATGCATCGACAGGAGTTTAGTGAGAGTCTAATGTAAATAGATGACAATCCTTGCCCATATGGAGATTCCAATTTAAGTGAACAATTAATGAATATAAAAAATATCAAAAATTTTTTATTCTCATTTTATATATGTTTATTTTATATGCCATTATGACATTTTTAGTAACAAAATTTATCATGAATACTAAACCATTTTCGTTAAAATTGGTAAATAAAAGGTTTTTCTAGGCCCCTGGAAAGCAAGTAAAGTTATAGAAAACAGAAAAAGAAGAAAGGGAAAGCATAAGAAGTTACCTCACAAACTTAAAAAAACCTTGTAAATTAATTCATTGATCATTACATTCCTTAGATCCTCCCTGATTAAGGACAGTTAGAGCTGAATTTGTTGTTTTGTTTATTGGTGAGACTTAAGAAAGTAAAAAAAAAGGAAAAGAAAAAGTTAAGTAAAATCTAGATTATTTGAAAAATTTGAGTTGTGTGTATAGTTTTCCCTGACAGTTATTCAACTTTTACCATCACACCCTTGCATGCACTCATTTCTTGAAAGAGAGGTGATGGACTTAGAGTACAGAGTGATACATGTATTTCAGAACATGACCAATGTAGGAATTTTTTTTTCTTAAATGTACAAGTTTTGTTTTGAAAAAGCATATTCTTTTCTACTTGTCCACATAGTTCAGATGTCAACAGTAGTCCAAAAGGAAATTGTCCAGCGTAGAGTTCTTACTTTTCTATAGTTTTTATATGTACCTGGTTTTTGCCTTTTTACTCGGTGGTGTACAAATACACTTTTCTTTCTCCAAATTAAAAGTTATTACTTGGTGAATTTAATCTTCTTTATATCAGTGTTACTTGATGTCACTGAATCTTTTGGCAACACTAATTTTATCTAAATAGTGTGTCTTCTTTGGGTTTTTGTAGTAGTGGTTCCTTTTTTTTGCCGTTTAAATGCTCCTGTTCCCTTTGCTGAGTAATAATAATAATAATAATTGGGGTTTTTTTTGGGGGGTGGCTCCATTTGGGATTTTCTTGGTAAATATATTGGAGTGGTTTGCCATTTCCTTTTCTTGTTCATTTTACAGATTAGGAAAGTCAGGCAAGCAGGGTTAAGGGACTGCTTGTCTGGGGTTACATAGGTAGGAAGTGTTTGAGGTCAGTGACTTGTTGAAATTATGAAGGCATATGAGTATTTCATTATTGCAGCTTTTTTGTTTCTTTCAGAGTTTTTGTCTAAGGTTTTCATTTTTATTTTACTATTAAAATCTAGCATTTAGCATGTAATCTTGTATTTTTATTAGATTGCTGTTTAACTGTGGTAGGTTTTTTCTGAACTGCATTTTCGTTTTAATATTAATTTAGTTTCTTATTGTGTTTGCTGATCTGTTTTGTCGAATAACTGAGGCTTTTTTTACTTAAATCATTTTTAGGCAGGTTACTTAATTCAAACATTTTTTTTTTATTGCTGAGATCCAATCACCATCTCTATCTGTTTAACATGTGGCCAATAGTTGTTCACAGAGGCTGTTTTCATTGTGGTGCCTGTTAGCCAATCAGCAGGCTCTCGAGGACTCCTGTATCTCGAGGATTAGGAAATTTTTTAGTCCCTCCTTGTGCCCAGCAATATACCAACTAGTGAACAATACAGGTACTCTTGTCTTCCTGTGATTTCCTGGCTACATTCGCATATTGTGTTAAAAACATTTACCTTTTTTATTCTTCTCAGGTTTCTTTCATTTAATTTTTAATTTTTCTTTATTGTCCTTTATCTTTTGCTTTTTTACACTTTTTTTGCATGAAAGTATAAAATTTGTCTTCAGCTATTATTTTCCACTAAACTTAAGATTCGTCACTTTGAATATTGAAACTTGTTTTCACTAAAATATTTAATGTACTCTAGGGTTAAGGGAAAGTAGATTAAATAATATTTTAGAAGATGAATGGGATGTCCTAGTGAAGACTCCTCAGTGTAATTAAGGTTTGGGATGAGGCTGAGTGGGATGAGGGGTCCCGTGAAAACTTTTTAGAAGAATAAATAGAAATTGTATTAGACTCAAGGCAGGCATAGCAGCCCGACAGGCCTAAGTTTCAATTTACTAGAAATCACCTGATTTATGGGAATTCAACCCCAAGTAGCCACCTCCTTATGTCATTGCTCAGTAGTTAAAGTTTGCCAAACCTGAAACTCCTGAAGAAGCCCTCCCCCCCACCCCCAGTATTTTGTTGATGCACTTGTTGCTGTTGTCGGTCATGGTGGTCTGGCTATACAATACAGTGTCTAGCTTGACTGCACATCTTTAATTGCTTCTTTGCTATTACTTCAGCAAACTAAGAAATATAGAAATGTGTATTGTATTCATTGTTTTGTTTTCAGTTTCTATGGTACATTGAGAATGTGAGCCAAACAGTGGACAGTCGGTGGGAGGGGGGAATTTGCCCATTAGGGCTATTTAATCAGATCCTTTGCTTCTGTCTGTGTCTCCGCTCATCAGAGTATCCTGGTGGAGGGACACCCAAATCTTGAGATTTGAAATAATAATAATAAATTAACTTTCTGTTTCTCCTTGGATACCTCTGTGTGTTCTTTAATTTGAGTGGCATCCCACATAGAAGATAAATGTAATTTAAATGACAACTTTTGAAAAAAATGGAATTTAAAAAATATTTCTAAGAGTCAAATTGGCTTTGCTATTATAATGTTACATGCTGTGTCAGAATGTTTTTGTGTTTGGAAAATGAATGTTAAATCCTTTAAGCAAATGGGAAGAAAATGTTGCTTATTCAAACCAATGGAAATTTGTATGGATCGTATTTATGAAAGACTGTATCTTATATTCTTTACTTAACTAGTTTCTGCAAATTAAAATCATAGATTAATTCCATCTCATACCTAAAATACAAATGAGCATTTAAATTGTGGATTTGGCATTATCAAAACCAACGTCCCAGACAACATTTATATTTCTGGTTGACTTTTTTGTCTAAATTGGTTTATTTCTTCTCCTTTATTCATTTCAATTCTAAATGGCTGAAAAGAGAGGCTTTGTTATGTACTATAATGTAGTAATGTAGTATAATGAAACTAAGATTTTCCCACCTGAATCCCCCTATGGAAATCTCGGGATTTTTTAATAATAATAATAATAATAACGAGGATAATTTTACCTCCAGCGATTTCTAGAGGGAGGAGTGTGGCTTTATTAGGAATGTTCTAGTAAACCTTGTCTTTGGCTGGAAAAAAAAAATCGAAGGAAAGGCCGCTGTGGCCGGCGGACTGGTTGGCATGGAGTCTCGGAAGCGGAAGTGGAGCGAAGTGACGGCGATGGTGGCGAGTCCCACGGCGGAGGTGGCAACTGCCGGGGCTGAGGGTGAGGGGACCTCGGCTTCGGGCGCGGGCGGCGGCCGGAGCCGGGGGAGGCCTGGCCCCGCCACCTGTTCTCCCGCCCTTCCCGCCCTCGGCCGCTGCCTATGGGGCCGCCCCGCTCCCTCCCTTGTCCGTGTGGGACCGGACGCGGAGCTCGGACTGGGACAGCGAGAGCCCCGGGCAGCAGTGCCTGCTGCAGATCAAGCGGGACGTCACCGCCCTCTACAAGGAGCCGCCCCCCGGCGTGTTTGTTGTGCTGGATTCCCTGGACATGACTAAGATCCATGCATTGAGCAAGGGACCGTTTGACACTCCTTATGAAGGGAGCTTCTTCTTGTTCCTGGTTCGCTGTCCTCCAGATTATCCCATCCGCCCACGGAGGGTCAAATTGATGACCACGGGCAATAACAGGGTGAGGTTTAACCCCAACTTCTACAGCAGTGGGAAAGTCTGCTTGAGTATTCTGGGGACTTGGGATGGCCCTGCCTGGAGCCCAGCCCAGAGCATCTCCTCAGTGCTGATCTCCATCCAGTTACTAATGAATGAAAACCCCTACCACAATGAGCCTGGCTTTGAGCAGGAGAAACACCGAGGAGACAACAAAAAGTACAATGAGTATATCTGGCACGAGACCCTCAGAGTGGCAGGCTGTGACAGGCTGGAGGGAAGATATCTCTGCCCTAAGCCCCTGAGGGGTATGATGGAGAAGTCCTTTCTAGAGTATTCTGACATCTATGAGGTGGCATGCAAAGACCGACTATCCCTCCAAGACCTTCAAATGGAGGAACCTTTTGGGGAGAAGCGAGACTGCTTTGACTACGAGTTTCTCCTGATTCGTCTCCAGGCAATTCGTCTGAGGGTGCAACAGAAACAGCAGCAGCACAGTGCTGAAATAGACTCTGATAGCAGTTCATCTAAAACAGTGACAGATACCCAGGGGAGTTCAAGGGCCTAGACGGCCCCCACCCCATCCCTGGGATGGAGCGGCACCACATCTCCTTCCAGCCCCAACAGCATCCTGCCTGAGACAAGAAGAACCAAGGACAGGCAGACCCCAGGGTGGGAGTGGGCTGTTGTTTGCAACCTTCTTGGCATCCTGGTACCAAGGACAATTTTCATCCCATGCCTAGGGCCAATCCCGAGGTATCAACATACAGCAGAGCCTGGAGCATGGTTCTCTGGCAAAAAACTGAGGGACATTTCCACTGGGGCAGTTTCTTGGGGATAGAAGACAAAGACTGCAACACTCAGAGGGGCTTGCTCAGAATAGTCAATGGGGATACCAGGAGGGGGAGGGCAGGGTCAAGGGAGCCGGGAAGGAGGGAAACAGGAGGGTGTCACATGACCTGTCCAGGTGGTTGTCTGCGTGTCTGTCTTTCAGTCTTGAAGCTGGGTCTTCCCCTTGCTTGGCCCAGCCCAGCCTAGTGTAACCTCCTGGACTTCATTTCCTGCCTGCCACCATAATTTTCTTTTCCCTAATATATAGTCACTGTTCTAGACAGACCAAAGAGAAGGAACAGTGGTGGAGTCTGAGCTCCTGGTCAGAAAGCTTTAAGTAGCACGAAAAAAAAATTCAAATAAGAGAGATGGAGGAAAAACTAAAATAAATAAATAAATGAACAAGCAAATAAATAAATGAATGAATGAATGAATAAATAAATAAATAGATAGATCGATAGATAGATAGATAGATAAATAAATGAATGAATGCATAGATAAATGAATGAATGAATGAATGAATAAATAAATAAATAAATAAATAAATAAGAATAAGCCAAGAAAAGCAAGAAGACTATGGAAGTCAACCAATTAGAAATGGAGATCTAGAATCTTAAGGAAGAAAATGACACCTTGAAAATTAGAATTGGGCAAGGTGAAGCCATCAAAATTAGAACAAATCAAGAAATAATTAAACAAAACATGAATAATGAAAAAATAGAAGAGAAAATGAAACATCACATAAGAAAAACAACAGATCTGGAGAATAGATCCAGAAGAGAAAATGTGGAAATAAGTGAATTAATTGAAAGCTATGATCAAAAAAAATCTTGATACAATAAGACAAGAAATAAAGAAAATTGTCCTGAAGCATTACAACAAGGGGAGGAAAGTAGAAATAGAAAAAAATCAATCAATCACCACTTAAAATATACCCTGTGAGGACAACTCATTGGAATATTATAGTCAAATTCTGAAATCCCCAGCTTAAGGATAAAATACTAAAAAAAAAAAAAAAAAAAAAAACAATTTAAATGTGATGGTGCCACAGTCAGACTCACACAAGACCTAGAAGCAAAGACATTAAAGGACCACAGGTCTTAGAACACTATGTATCAAAGAGCAAAAGAACTAGGGTTCCAGCTGAAAATATCATACCCAGAAAGTTCAGCATAATCCTGAATGAAAAAGGACATTTGATAACTGTCAGATTTTCAAGATTTTGTTAATAAAACAAACAAACCTGAACTTCATTGAAGTATCAACATACAAAAGCCAAGAGAAATGTGAGGTACCTACCAAAGACTGATTATGAGGGACTCAATAAGGACAAACTGTTTACTTTTTATATATGTAAAACATAAAATATATGTCTAAGATTCTTATTAATAATTGGGTAGCTCAAGACATTTCCAGAGGCCTTATGATGGAAAATGCCATCCACGTCCAAAGAAAGAGCTATGAAAGTTGAATTACTATTTTTTTCTCTTCTGCTGAGTTTTGTTTCCTCTTTCTGATGGTTCCTCTTACTGGTTTTTTTACTTACAACATCACTAATGTGAAAATATGTTTAATAGGAATGTAAAAGTATAGCCTATATCAGATTGTGCGCGGTCTTGGGGATGGTGGTGGGAAGTAAGGGGGAGAAAAATTTTAAACTCGAAAGCATAAGGAAGTGATTAACTCAAAATAAATTACTAAAAATAAATAAAAATAAATAGTTGCATAGCTCATTAAAAAGATTTGAGTAGACCTGTGTATGATGTGACTTTAAAGTAGTAAAATCATTTAGAAAAAGCTAAAAAGAGTAGTTATTTTATACAAATGAGGTGCAAGAGGAAGAATTGATTCAGAGGAATTACATGGGAGAGGAGGGCTGGTAATTCTGGTAACCTACTTACATCACAAATGGGTTCAAGAGGAAACTCTGTGTGTGTGTGTGTGTGTGTGTGTGTGTGTGCACGCATTTATATTAAGAAGAGTACAAAACTCTTCTAAATTTAGAAGACATAAAATGATGATGGAATAGGGAGGGGGAGAGGACAAGGGAGGGTTAACTAAAGGAGGAATAGAGAATAGGGTATTTACACTTATGGGAATGGGAAGATGGGGGAGGGATATTTGGAAGGGGGTAGGCTAAGTAATAGAAGGGCAAGGTAATGAGCAGACATAAAGTAGAAGACTCAAGAGAGATAAAAAAAAACAAGAGATACGCACAAACATAAAAACAAAGATCAGGTGTAGAATTTGCTGGGAATGCATATGTCTATATATGTCTATATATATATGTGTGTGTGTGTGTGTGTGTGTATATATATAGAGGAATATATCTGCACTGCATTGTAGCCTTCTGGGCCAGGGGAGGGAAAAAAAAGAACAAACAAAAAAAATGCATAGCAGGGAACAAAAGAAAACTTACAAGGAAACAAAGAAAAGATAGCTCTCAACAAAACATGTAGTATTAATCATACACAATTTCTTTAAATGAAAATTTATTGTTATATGTTTTGAATCTTCTCTTATGACATGCTTTTTTTTCTTTTCTTACTGTCCAATCAAATTCCAATATTTAAGTTTAGGATATGTTTTTGTTTGCTTTTCTCTGTTCTGTGGGGGCAGCTACATGGTGCAGTGGATAAAGCTCTGGCCTTAGAGTCAGGAGGATCTTAGTTCAAATCTGGCCTCAGACACTTGACACTTGCTACCTGTGTGACCCTAGGCAAGTCACTTAACCCCAACTGCCTCACCAAAAACCAAAAAAAAAAAAACAACTTAGAATTGGGCAAGTGGAAACTAATGACTCTATGAAACACCAAGAATCAATCAAACAAATTCGAAAGAATGAAAAATTAGAAGAAAATGTGAAATACCTCATTGAAAAAAATGATCAAGAAAATCGATCCAAGAGAGGCAGTTTTAGAATCACTGGACTACCTGAAAGTCATAATCAAAAGGAAGATATGGACAGTATCTTTCAAGAAATTATTGATGAAACTGCCTTGAAGCCCTGGAACCAGAAGGCCAAATAGGCACTGAAAGAATCCACTAATCACCTCAGGAAAGAGTTCCCCAAATAAAAACTCCAAGGAGCATTATAGCCAAATTACAGAACTATCAAATCAACGAAAAACACTGCAAGTGGCCAAAAAAAAGACAATTCAACTATCAGGGAGCCACAATCAGGATTACACGAGACTTAGCAGCTGCAAAATTAAAGGATCAGAGTTCATGTAACATGATATTCAGGAAGGCAGAAAAGCTACTCCTACAACCAAGAATCACCTACTTGGAAAAATTAAGCATAATACTATGGGGGGGGGAATGGTCATTCGGTGAAAGGGATGAATTTCAAGCTTTCATAAGGAGAAGACCAGAATTGAGCTAAAAAATCTCACCCCCAAATATCAAGACCTAAGAAAACTCTAATAAGGGAAAAAGGAAAAAGAGAACATTAGGGATTCAATGGAGATGAACTGTTTACATCCCTATATGGAAAGATAATACTTGTCATTCTTAAAAATTGTACCACTAATAATACAGCTAGAAAGAATATACATAGACAGAGGGTATGGGTATAAGGTGAATTTGAGGTAAGGACATGAAAAATAATTAAGGGATGAGAAAGAGGTCCAGGTGCAGAAGGAAGGGAAAGGCAGAAGGGGGGTAAATTATTTCACATGAAGAAGAGCAAAAGACCTATTACAGTGGAGGGGAAGATGGGATGGTGGGCAGTGGGCATTAGCTTGAACCTTACTCTCATCAGTATTGGCTCAAAGAGGGAATGATATACACACAGGTGAATATAGAAATCTGTCTTACCACACAGGAAAGTAGGAAGTGAGGAGATTAAGTAAAGGCAGGAGGACAGAAGGGAAGTGACAAAAGAGAAGTCAGATCGAGGAGGTGGTACAGAAAAGCAAAACACTGTCAAGGACAGAAAGAGTGACAGGAGAGAGAGGACAAACAGGAAGAAAAATAGGATGGAGGGAAATACAGTTAGTAAGCATAACTGTGGATGTAAATGGCATGAAACTTCCCACAAAAAAGAAATGGATAACAGAATAGATCAAAAACCAGACTCCTACAATATGGTGTTTACAAGAAACACACTTGAAGTAAAGAGACACACACAGAGTAAAGGTAAGAGGCTGGAGAAAGATCTATTATGCTTCAGCTGAAGTAAAATTTAAAAAAAAGCAAGTGTAGCAATCCTTATCTCAGACAAGGCAAAAGCAAAAAGGCCTAATAAGAAGAGATAAGAAAGGAAACTACATCTTTCTGAAAGGTAACAGACATTTAAGTAATTTCAATACAAACATAAACACACCAAGTGGTATAGCATCCAAGTTCTTAAAGGAGAAATTAAGTGAGTTACAGGTTCATGAACAAACAAGAGGTAGAGAGCATCACGGGATGTAAAATAGATCATTTTGATTATATTTCATAGAAAAGTTGGTCTTTCCCTGCTCGAGCACCCACATTGAACTGTGTTTCTCTCCCAGCCCGGCGCAATAGACCTTTCTGATCAATCATCCAGGTTGTGTTGGGCTGGAAATTTGTTTCACTCTGTCCATTTGTGGGTTCTGCTACTCTAGAATTTGTTTAGAGTCATTTTTTTTTACAGGTATTTGGAGAGGTTTGGGGGAGAGCTCAAATAAGTCATGGCTTTTACTCTGCCATCTTGGCTCTGCCTCCTTCTCCAGCTCATTTTACAGAAGAGGAACTGAGCCAAACAGCTTTAAGTGGCTTGCCCAAGTCTGAGGCTAAATTTGAACTCAGGAAAATGAATCTTTCTGATTTCAGGCCTTCATTCTATTCATGGTGCCAGTTAGCTGACTGTTAAATGAAATTACTAGTATCAAAAATGAAAAGGGTGAATTCACCATCAATGAAGATGAAATCCAAGCAACAATTAGGGGCTGTTTTACTAAAGTGTATGTCAATAAATCTGACGATCTAAGTGAAATGGATGAATATTTCTAAAGACACATATTACCTAGAGTAAGTGAAGAAAAAATATACTTAAATTACCAGATCTTAGAGAAAGAAATTGAATAAGCCATCAACCACCTAAGAAAAAAATCCACAGGGCAAGATGGATTCACACGTGATTTCTATCCAACATTAAAAAAAAAAGCCTATCAATTCCAATACTGTATAAACTATTTGGGAATAGAAGCAAGAGAAAAGTCCTGCCAAATTCCTTTTATGACACATATGTGG